CCAAATATTTATACGTGTTAAACGGATTAGTGTGGCGATTACCGATACCGGGAATTATACCAATAATTAAAAATAATAATAATAATAATATAATACTGATGGACAGTCGATTTCTTAATTTAGTACTCAATGAGTAAGACACACATTTTTTTCGAATAATACAATTAATATGCTTTTGATTAATATGTCCGGGACCATTATTTGGATTATTAAAATCATTCGATTATTTCCATCGCTATTTTATACCAAACTCATTAAATCGTATGTAACACGTAGCGAGACGAACTAGAAACTAGTAAATGCTACGTTACAAAGAACATTTTCGGTGAATATATTCGTATTTTAAAGTATAATCAACGTGTGGTGATGTACAAGCCGACACTGTGTACTCGTATATAAACTAAACAGTTTATCTCGAATTCATTTTAATATACCTTAAACATAGGTAGCGATAATTATAAAACAAGTTAGCGTGCGTATGCGCGTTTGTTGAGTTTTCATGCATCTCTTTATCGCAAGAGTTCATCGTGTCAAGTTTTAGTATGATGACGACGAAGCCAATCAGAAGAAAAAACGGTCATCAATATTTTATTTTGTAAGTTAAATACCTACTATGCTTAATTAATAACGACTATTGCCAATTTCGTTCGATGATCTAACGGAGAATATCTGTAATCAAATCGAACATCATTGAAAATAAAATATAGTCCGATATACATATAATGTTAAATGCATTTAAAACCCGAATTGCAGTGTTCATAAACTCGTATTTTATCTGCACGTAATCCACCCTGAAAAATACGGTGGTAGCGGCAACGGTCGACTAGGAATACAACACGTACATTATAATACATATCCGAAAAATAAATTAGATTTTTGTCGTAGATAGCACAGAAGATGAAAATATTTACTTTTACGTCACTAGCAAGTGTGCGTAAATAATATATTGTACAGGTAAACTGCGGTGCTAATCATTTTAGTGGAATAATATCGATTTTGCGTGCTGTGCAGTGCCAATGACTGACACCCAATATACATATGTTAAATATAAATATGTAAATCAATAAGTTAATCATTTACTTTGTAAGAAATATAGTAATATAATTAGCAGTGTAATATATTATTAATAATAATAATAATAATAATAGTAATACAACACAAAAAGATATTCATTCTAGTGAATATTAATAATAATAATATAAATAAAAATAAACATTTAATATTATACTTATGATACGTACATATCAGCCTGTTTACTGTTTATTTTTCATCATGCATAAACTACCAGTCTCATAATTATTAAAAAACAAAAACGTGGACAGGAAAAACAACAAAAAAAAAAAAAAAATGAAATTCTTATAGCACTAAGTATACATATACATATACATATACATATATATATATATATATATTTATACGAATGCGGCAAATCGTTGCGAAGTGTTTTGTTTAGTGTAATAAGGGCAGCGCAAATCTGTACCGGGGAGAAGACTTGGAAAGTTTGGAACGGCAAAAGTCGGTTGTCGGCGCAAAGCGTAACCGGGCTGCGGGGGAGAATGTTTAACAACGAGAGCCGTACAATTACAACGTAAACACAAAGAGAGATGAGACGAGACGCTGACGCAGAACAAACAAAGTGTCGTCCTGATCTTCGTAGCGTGAGGTTTGTACAGTTATAGCAGAGCTTACGGTCGCGTGCAACAATAATAATATTATCTGCGGAGAATTAACGGGTGAAGGGGTGGCAAGGGCAAAGCTAATATTTGACGACGAGACGACGATGATGACGATGATGATGAATATATTATAACGTAATATAATGTTATCGTCGACATAAATTACGCCGTACAATAATATACAAATATAAGTGTATGCGTGTATAAATAACTTGAAAGGTACACGAAACTGCACAATGTCGTGTACTTACAACGAAAATTATGCGTGTACGACGAGGAACACGCGTCGCATTTTTTCATACGCGTTCTCTTTCCGGATAGATCCCACCACCCAAGTCCCGCACTCGGCCGAGAGTATAAACGCGCGTACACATATTCGCAGTCCCAGGGACGTTAATTGAATCTTTTTTCGCTGCTCTCCCCTCGCGCGCCGGCAAACCCTTCTCTTACGCGGGGTCATTGCCGCGCAGCACCCGGTGTGTATACACGCGAAGACCGTAATGTTGTGTACGTATACACAATATAAACGGTGGCAGTGGCGGATTTTCAAAATACATTATGGTTGTGTGCGTCCAGTTAGGAACGTAATTAATCGACGGAATCGGCATTTGGCAGAGTCGTTGACGGCGGAGCGCGTGACGGGAAACGAGGGAGAGGAATGCTGCACGGAGAAAGAGAGAGAGATAGAGAGAGGGAAGAGAGTGAGTGAGGGGGTCGAAGGGGTTATTATATTATGTGCATCGAGAACGGGGTAACCTACCATTAATCACGGGGTTGCTAGAGGTACGTCATCGACAGGGCTTCGTGTGTACACGAGGTGCGGCGACGGCGTTGGCGCGGCGCGTGCGCGCGCGTACACGTACGGGCCGCGGCCGGATTATAATATAAATCGAAGGGCGTGGAAATCACTTTGTCATTTGAACGCGTAGTGCATACACTCGGCGTATGTGAGTACTGCGGCACAAGGGTTGCAGAAAATAATATAATTACGTCGTCGTAGTCAGCAGTAGTAAAAGCACGCGAACACGTCCTCGTAGCGAGAATTCGATCGGACGCCAACCATAGCAGATACACGTGTATATTATTATACGGCGTAATATATACAATTATTTTCACGGTTTGATTATAATTCATCGTCAGTCGGTCGAGAGTTTCAGCGGAGTACATTACAATGTAGTGGTCTTTTGGGTAATTTTTTTTTTAACACGGGTGGGCGGTATTTTTAATTAACGGCGAAAACGAAAAACAAAAAAAAAAAAAAAAAAAACACCAAAATTACACACACACGAGTTTCTCATAGTCGACCGGTCGCGCATACCACGTAGAATAATTATCGCGCCACGGTAGGTACGCGTGTGGCCGATTTCTTTTGTTCGCACTTCTTCGTCGTCTCGTCCTCGTCACGGTCAAGCGGCAACGACACCGAGCCGGACAACCCCACCACCGCGGGTAAACGGTATTACAGCGCGCGCGAAATTAACGCGGGTGGATGTAATATGCTTGTGTGGCCACACCTACCGCCCGAAAGTCTTTCACGCGCGACAAGTTTCGTACGTATATTTATACGACGAGAACCGAAAAATACATAAATTAATGGTGTACACGGTGCGGTAATTGGACTGTGTGAAATCGGTGTCCGGGAGGGGAACAACCGTCTGCGGTAAATCTGAATTTCTTAAGAACCTTATTAGGACCCGTTATGCAGGCGCATGCGATGTTCACGACAAGTATAACGGACATCATCCGCCTTCTGCCGCGATAAAAATATATAACGCGGAACAGCACTTCATTTCGACCGTTTTTAATCGGTCTACGGACGGCATTATTCGTACCATGACGGTAACATAAATATTCGCGTACATAAGTGGTAGCAGTATCGTCAAATCCTATTTCGACTTGACGGATAGGTACCGTATTAAATTTGCAAAATATCATTCCCTCGGCGGAGCGTAGGGTGTCCCCTCTTTTTTTTTTTTACACTGCAGTCGATCGCGCGCGCGGCAATCAATCTCTGCACAGCCCATCGGTTGCGCCGTCGATTGACTACGCATCGCATAATATTATGTATAATATATGCTTTGCCGGAGCAAAGCCGACCGATATTTGTTTCCTGCAATGTCTTGTGTATATATATTGTACCCTTTTCAATTGGCACAGTTAAAAGTATCGCTCGGAAAGCGATTTATTTATTGCACGCGAGCCCCGCTGTATAGTTCGCGCACAACTTTAATCCGTACATGTTTCGTACGGCATAGTATAAGCGGTGCGCGTTTGTTTCTTTTTTTTTTTCTTCTTCTTATATTTCACGCAGTTTTTCCGCACAGGGTAATTTGTAGGGTACGCGTGCAGCCCACGAGCGAGCGACGATGGGTTAGGTTTTGGAGAAATTTACGCCAACGCCGTCGCGAAAAAAAAAAAACTAAAATATATTTATGCGGTTTTTATACGGACCCAAAAGCGTTATGCTAACGACGGGTCCGGCCAACAGCCCGACCGGTGCGCGAGAGTGTACTCATTTCCATACCGGGTTGCGCGCGAGCTGCCCGATAGTGATAGATAATATTGCACTCTGGGGAATTGACGACCGGCAGTTTTCCATTCGGTTAATTGCACGCGCACCCTTGAGCCATTTTTCTCGATCGTCGCCGCCGTATCTTTGACATGCCACCGCAGCAACGGTGTAACATAAAACACGGACGAAACATCGTATATTTTGCATATATAGTAATCGAAAGAAAAAAAAAACCAAAAGAAAACAATTGATTTTGGATTCGGGTCACTCTTTTTTTCACTCCCCGTCACTGCCGCCACCGCGTCTCTCGCATTCATACCGGTATGTAGGCGTAAATGATTATGCCAGGAGTAAAATTCCTGGGGCGGCGGGTCGACTTTGGCCAAATCGATTTTCGTTCCGTCTCCGGGGAACTCAGCAACGTCTACCCGCCACCCATCGTATAAACTGCATGTTTTATTAAACAGACGCGCACAACACGACTTTGTCTGTGAAGCGAAAAAAAAAAGAAAAAAATAGAAAGAAGAGAACAACAGGCAAAGGGTGTCCGGAAATATATTACGAGCCCCGCGGAGACTTCCGTAACCCTAAAAATAATAATAAAAAAGGGTCTAAGGCTCGCAAAAGAGCTGCGTGCATAGGAGGAATACGCGCGCGCGTAATATAAGTTCATAACGACCATTATCGGTTTGACCCTAGTCCGTAGTGGCAATTTGTACGACGTGATGAACGAGAGAGAGGTTAGTGCAGGTTTCTTATATTATATAATGAGATTTCAAAAAAAAAAAAAACCAAGTTGATGGTTCACTTACCGTGAGGGACCCATCCGTGGCCACAAGCATCGCAGAATCGTATATGAAGTTTCCCGGGCGTAAAACAATCGCACACGCATCCCGGCACCGTACATCTGATGGCCTGAAAAATAAAATTAATTCAATAACAATCGATTAAATCGAAATTATTAAAAATTAGAATTATAAAATTCACACGAATATTGTAACGAATATTTAATATCAAAATAAAGGTAACACGAGCGTATACCGTGAGAACGAAGTTATTGGACCCAGAGTAAATTTTGTTTTTTGTACACTTAAACGTAGTATTCTCCTAGGACCACTACACGACAACAAAAGAATCGAAAACAAACTCGGTTCGTCTTTAGAAGTATATTATCATTATCGTTATTATATTATTTTCCTTTCCATCCGATTCGCCCTTTATTGTTCCAAACGTCAATCTGTCGTTTAATGAAGTCTACCAAAGTCATTGTACACACACACATGGTCCGTGTGTACACGACGGATCGGTTTTGGAATAGGTGTGAAAATAATAATAATGATGACGAAACGGCCCTCTTACCGGCCCTTAATGTCGTAATAACAGACCGAGACCGAGATGATGGGTCATTGTCGTTTAGTACATGTGTGCGCGCGGAGAACCTATTGTACCCCCTTTTTCCGTACGTATTGCCCTCTACGCATACGGGGGGGCCGCCACCGTATAGCTGTTCAATACACGATTTTTCGTTTTCGAAAATCATCATCGTTAAATAATAATAATAATTCGATATCACGAGTATCACCTGTCATACGCATTGCACGCGCTCGGGAGGCCGAGACGCAACGGTCGTCTATAGCGCAAACAATAGCTCTCTCCTAACTACAATATATAATACGTACGGTCGACGATGGCGACGACAACTTTATACCATTACTATAGGTGTTTGTTTTAAATTAGACGCGCGTGATTCACACAGAGGATACAAGAATTAATACTTGTTTAATAGCTGATACGCACATTAAAATTATAAAGTTTTGAATACTTACACACGATTATACTCAGTAACGGTTTGAACATTTACATCTTACCGGGGCGGTATAATTTAAACCACCCCACCTACCCTGAAAAAATTGTTCTAGCTTCCCTCGTATCACATCAAAATTACACTTAAACGCTATGCCGTAAATTATGTATTTCCAAATATGTCATATAGATATACTGGTAAGCCTACTAAATTTTAATTTATTTAATCAAAATGTACACAAAAAATTTTGCGTAGTAAGTGCTTACAAGCCGCCTCTGAGTGTATATGTATATGTGTAGATGCAAAACATTCTTCCGATTGAATACGAACGCGCGTATTTACGCGTAATAATTTATACCACGTTATAAAATGTATTTTATATTTTCTACATGAATACGGTACATGTTTTAAGTAGAAACTAAAAAAATGTGACGAAACTATTCGGATCATTTTCCGGTTCGCTATCGGTAAAGAAAATTAATCCGTGATTTAGTATCCGTGGAACGTTGTACGCTCTCAGAACGAGCGTAAATAAGCTAACCGCAAAGCACTGCACACGCGTATTACCCGAAAGATTAGTGGTTTCGATTTTACATTAATTTTTCTTATTACCAGTGTGGGGAATAGATAATGCGAAATTTATCTAGATAAAGATGAAAGATAATATGTCCGATTTCATCTAGATAAAAAAAAAGATATTTTCAAAAAATGTTATTTTTTGGTCAATATTTCATATTCTAATAATATCTATGTAGACTCAATTATAATCATTATAATCAATAGGTTCCTAGGTGTTTAACGATTATTGTAGTAATGTAGTGTACCATTAAGCAGTATTTATATATAATGTACAGTAAGATATGATAGTTAATCACTAAAATGTTACATAAAAAAAAAAAAAAAAAATGAAAATTTCTCTGTACGTATCAGGATGAATACGGAATACATAAAAAATTATTTTAAGTTAACAATATTGTTTTCCTTATAATATTCATTTGATGATTTACATTATTTTATAAGTAGTTACGACTTTACGGGTTCCAAGAGAGAAGTAATGACTATTCAGCGTACAAGTTACATGTGTATACTAAAATGAAATACCTACTATATTTGGAACTTCCATGGAAAAATAAGAAATTAAGTTTAAAAATACCAAAAATATTTTCCCGACATGAAAATACAAACAAAATATCATACCAAGAAATAATAATTACTTATTAATACAAAATCTATATGTATAAAAGAAAGTCGGGTTATTTACAGAATTTATGATTCAAGAACGGCTGGACCGATTTTGATCTTCGATTTGTTGGATTCGTCTCTATACAAGAATAAAAATAACTCTAATCTTGGCAAGAATACAGACAATTATTTAGATAAGTAAAAATGTTATCTTAGATAAGTAATTAGATAACTTACCGATATTTATCTAGATAAGATAAAAGATGACAAAAAATCTATCTAGATAATTTATCTAAATAAGTCCCAACACTGCTTATTACACACACACGAAAAACTTGTAACTCAATAAATATTTTACAACGCGTGTTGTGGATAAAGAAGTTAATGAAATTTTTGAACTTGATTAAAGCTAAGATTAGAGAGAACAACTTGTTTTACGTTCATGCATGGAAGAAGGTATACATAGATATTATACATTGCTGGTATATTAATATAGTAAACATATAAATGAAGAAAACATTACGTAGGTACAAAGGGTTGAAAAGGAAATTTTATAAGACGCGAGATGCTGTGTCGAGGAGTCTGTAGCAGACATGAGTGTTGGCTAGCCCTCAGGGCGAGAAGAACCTACGATAATAAGTTATAACTCGAGTTTTCGTCAATTAATATAATATCTGTATAAACGAACATTTATACGGATTAAAAAAATAAATAAAAGTACGTTTATATAGGAAAATAAAACCAACCAAAGGGGGTGTTGTTAACCATTTTAATAAACATCATATGCAAATGTTCTCCGATATCTTAATACAGTTAATACGTATAATTATATGTATATATAATTAATATTAAAAAAGAAATGATCTTTATAATGTAAAGCGCAACGTTTTCGAGTCATGAAAAACCACTATAAATATCGTAATAGCTACAAAGTGAAATTTATTGAATATTACATAACACGATACGGTAATATTACGGGGTGGGGTGATATTAATTTTATATTTTTTCATAAACACAAATATAGGTGCACGCACAAGATATTATTATTATTATAATATTATAACGTACAAAGCCGGGGTAGACAAGTCAGACGGGAAACAATGGTAAATTAAATTCCGCTCGCTTTTGCGCTCGCGTACATCCTTTAACCATCACCGACGTTGGGATACGTATATGGCCGCACGGCGTTACGCGAAAGTAATAAATTCAAATAAGCACTTTTTTATCAACCTAATAATCATTTTCTTTCAATTTTCGGTGCGACGACAACACGGCGGATGCTAAAAAAGTAATCGTCTGCTCGGCGAGAAAACAGAAAATCGCTTCATCCACATATTAAAACCGTTGCGTTTTCATCGTATAATTTCATCTCGTCACGTTATTTATACGCGTTTATCCCCGAAGAGCTCGCGAAGTATATTCTTTACGTCGGTGTTATATACACGCGTGCACAGTTGGCGTGCGCGTACGACGCACAGACTTATAGTAGTTTCCGCCACCAACACTATCGTATTCCGTCGTTTCTGTTCCACTCTCGCCCTATCTCATCGTCGTCCTCAGACTATTCTTTTATATTTGACAGATTAAAATTACCCTCGTGGGGGCGAATGTGACAGCAGAAATAGAAACAGCAGCAGCAGTAGCAACCGACGTCGGAGAAACGAGCGAGAGCGTATGATGAGGTCAGTGTCAAGTAAATGATGTCTCCTCCACCGCTGCCACCGACCTCCAGCGGGCGCGTTCCCCGGAGACTTTGCTATGATTTATGCAAGTCTATATAACCGTAAAGGTTTCCGGATACGCGTCCTGCGCGAACGCCTCGTCCTCCCCTCGCTCGTGTCTTCCTCGTAAAACCGGCGAAAACGACGTGAGACGTACACATTTACGCACAAGCATATATATATACGGCGTATGAGTAGTTTTTCAATTTATTTCCGAGAGGGATTATGTGGGATTCGCGAAATTGGCTGCAAAACGTTTTATGTTTATAAAATACGGGTTCGACTGTATGTAAATATATGCACGTGTATATATATAAACGATATTGCACGCGATCGAAATGTAGTACATGTGACAAAGTGAAGAAATATACGGATTATAAGTCTGTTATATATAAATAAATATATACCTGTTACAAGCTATTTAAATATCCATCATTCGAGTACGGCGGCGAGTAAGAACCTGGCCGCAAGAGGAGAACCGAATCGCTTGCCATCTGCTCTCTTCGTAGATAATAACATGAATCGAGTTCAGAAATGGTTTTAACACCAAAACCAAAAATATCCGCCGAACGATGGATGAACTCGCGCTAGACTCACGTCTGATCAAACAAGTAGGTAACATGCAATATACGCGATTGTAATCACGAAGGTTTTTTTTTTTATAATACTAAACGCATACATATATTTATACATACGTGTGAGTGTGTGTTATAGTGTTTTTTTTTTGTGTAATTTTAAGTGTACACACGCAAATAACGTATATGATTGTGTACAACTGTAAAATTCGATACAGTCGGAATACGAATTTTAAAAAATAACATATTTAGGTACCCAACTGTAGTAATAATATTACTTTTTTTTTTTTTGCTTTCTGTTCCACCACGTGCTGCAAAATATTTTATTTCATTAAATCTCTGCACAAATATAATTTACACACATATATATCGAGCACGACATTGAACGGCTTTTTCCATATCAACGATATTATAATAAATCTATTATACAGTTATATGGTATTCTGCAAATATATATATACATATTCTCTTTCAAGTGGTGAATTAAAAAGCTATCGGTCCCCTCAACTGGAGGCATTACAACGGGGCACGTACTATTATATTATATATTTTCTCATGGTTCGCATTTTCCCGGGGCCCACTTGACGTGGCGGGCGGATAAAGGTATGTATATATTATACGTTGCAGCATGCA